TCTTCCCGGACCGGGGCACGAACCCGTGTCCCCTGCATCGGCAGGCGGACTCCCAACCACTGCGCCACCAGGGAAGCCCCTGTCCCTACTTCTTTTCTTCCTCTCTCCTCCTTTCTTTCCTTCTTTTCTTCCCCTCTCCTTCTCCTACCCGCAACTAACTATAAGCCCCTGCCCTCCCTGGCCCCTGCCCACCTGTCTGTTTCCACCTCCTGTCACTCTCTTCCTCCGTCCACTGTGCACAGTCACATTGGATGGGGGATGGTCTACTTCTTCACCTTTGCATATCTGGCTCCTAGATATTCAGACCAGTGCTAGCATGCCATCCCCTGTTAAAGAGACAAGCCATGATCTCTTGCCCACATTAAAGTGGCTACTTGGTTATTCTCTATCACCCCTTTATTCTTAATTTTCTTGTTTGTTTATGATCTTTCTCCCCCTCACTAGAATGTCAGCTTTATGAGGTCAGGAATTGATCTGTCTTGTCCACCACTGGCACCTGCAACAGCACCTGGCACACAGTCACTTGATAAATATGTAAGGATTTAGTAAATGGAGCTGTGCTTGGCAAAATGTGGTGGTGGGTAGGTGGACTGGCAAACGCAAAGCTAAACACAGTCATTGCATCTGATGGTCTTACATCTAGCAGAAGAAATATGAAACATGCTTAAATACCTATGTACATATGGATGCATATTCTATGGAGATAGAAAGATAGCTGGCTATGTATAATAAATTAGGTAATACAACCAAACACTCTGGGAATTCCGAGGAATGGGGGGAAATCTAAGCTGAGATTATAAAGAAAGGTTTAGAGGTTCCATTGATCTGCTTTAGAAAATGAATTGGATTTGGATAGAGCATCCAAGGAAAAGGATGGGATGAATAAAGATCCAAACAAGGGAAATCATAAGGCATGGCAGTGAGTAGACTGGTTTGCTAGAATGGTAGGAGAATAACATATGCAAAGATGAAGTGAAAGGTCAAGCTGGAAAGCTAAGCTAGGACCACTGCAGAGAGCCTTCAATTCCTGACTAAGGAATTGAATTTTGAGGGAAATATTGAGCCACTGACAGTTCTTTGAGTTACGGTAGAGAATTGGTGGAGGAAGGAGCACAGAGTAAGGTGGGACTAATGTTACTGGACACCTATCATATAGTACTAAGCTGTATGACAAACGCTTTACAAAGGTTATCCAAAGCAGTAATTCCCATGTGCTGGTCCACGGGATTTAGAATCACCTGAGTCACTTCTTAAAATCAGAGATGCCTGCACCCCACCCCAGACCTACTGAACGATAATCTATGGGAGTGGGACTCTGTATGTTTAGTAAGCTCACTTGTGATTCTGATGTGTAACCAGCCAAGCTTGGGAGCATCAGCATGATCAAAACTCAGTGTAGTGTGATCAGAGCTGTGCTATTGGAAGATCAAGCTGGGAGCAGCATATGAAGACAGTGTGGACACAGGAGAGAACAGAGATAAGAAGACCAGTTAGGCACACATGCAGGTGTACACTGGAGCCTTAACTACATTCACAATTGGAATTGAAAAAAATCAATAGGTGTTGAATTATGACAATGCTGATCTATGTAGAATAGAGAAATTTAAGGCAGTCAGGCAGAACTACACCTGATTTAAATGGCTTGATTTGTACACATTAGTATTGATTAAATAGACTAAAATTTTAACTCTTTAAGACAATCAAAGTCTCAATGTTAATCCCAATTCAATGTCTAATAACTATTGTACTTAGAATGATGGTACACCATTGGTTGTATTGTAATAATAATGACTACATTTAATACTTTAAAACTGAGGAACATGATTATACATATTGATAAAATAGGCTTTTTACACTCTGGAAAAATAAACATAACTGACCTAAGGCATATATTATTTATTTTATAATAAATCTAGCTGCATTTCCCCCTACTGTAGATTTAGATTAGTGGTTTTGAATTTACTACTTATTCTTTCAGAAACAAAAAAATTAAGTAAAATAAATTGAAGAGTTGGAGTCTTTTTCCTTTGTTTTTTGTTTTTGGAAATTCTGAAATGAGTGTGTTCTTTTCCTCTACAGGAGGCTCTTTCTTCATCCCAGACTTCAAGAACTTTACGTCTGTTTTCATGACTCAGTCACAGAAATTGCCATCGAAATGGCTTTTAAATTGTTCTTTGGATTAACCTTGTAGCTGTGTTTTCTTGATGTACAGCAACACTGCACAGACAGTGCAGATAAAGTAGTGTTAGAACTGCTGAAATCCATTCACAAAGAGATAAGGTTTAACTTCTTTCCTCTGTTCAATACTGAACATAAGATTGTTAAAGACTGAGATGATATGCTGCTGGATTTGATGCACTAAATCTTTTTGTGAGACTTTTGAAGAAGATACTTGATCAAAATATGAAGAAGGGATTGTTAACTTATTTCCATTTTGGTATACACCATTAATTTATTTATTAGTTTGAAATAATGTGATGTGTTTTATGTAAAATTAATATAGGAATGTTTATCTGGGAAAAATACCCAATTCGTTGTATATTTTTCTCAAGACTAATATTGATATCTGGCGAAACAATCATGAAATTGGGAGGAGGTGACCAGGTTCTGTAACTGATTAGTGCTGTGACCATGAGCAAGTTGTTGTACCTCTGTGAGCTCAGAGTTTTCATGTACAAATGAAATGATTGCTTTGAGGTGTCTAAAGACCCTCTTAAGTATAAAATGTGCAATTTTTTTCCCTCTTGCCTATTGTTTGGTACCTAAATTTGTAATGTCCAAGTACTGATTCCTTCTTAGATCAGATACTTTTCTTTAGTTTAGGTGTTTTAGTAGATACCTCACAGTGGGGGAAGAGAGGAGTGAGAATTAAACTTCTTTTTTTATTTATTTGATTTTCTTTACTCTTCCAAGTCAATTCTATCTTGACTAGGATATATTTTTTTAAACTATTTGTCCACAAACTTTCATTGTTTTTCTCTTTGTTGAAATATATTCAGGTATACACACACATTTTATGCAAGTTCATGAATTTTGGGAAAGTTGTATGTAAACCTTTTTTTAAAACCTAATCATGTTGAAAACACTGAAAAAGCTGACTAAAGAAATTCTATGGCGACTTTTTTTGTTCAATACAAATTTTTGCCTAACAAGTATGGATCATTATGTATTGGGTTTTCCCAAAGGGGGACATTTTAACGAACAATAGTTTACTTGACTTTGAGTAAAGAAAGAAAAGTACTAAGATGAGAATTTTCATTGGCTGTCAGAATTTGGTGGATTGAAAGAAAGGAAGAACATGATAATTCTTAATTGACATTTACCCAATGGATTCTACTGAAGTCTCAGATGCCCCCAAGACTTTAAAATACTGGGTTCTTTCTTCTTCAGGAGTTAACTTTGGAAGGCAAATTATGTCGGCACATCTAAAGCCAGTCCCTTGCCTTTCCCCTACCTCAAACGTGAGACCTCCAGCTTACTCTGAATTAACTGCAAAATGTAGTGGATGAACCATTTGAAACATTTGGTCTTAGAAGAAACACTATTATTCCTCTGTCATGAGTTTAAGAGATTTTCACCCAGGCGTTTAAGATGCAAACCACTATACTTGTCCCATTAGTGACTTGTGGGCCTTAATTTTGGCATTCAAAACAGGGAAAGAAACTTTGGTTCTTGAAATGTAGAAAATGGCTTGCAATATCCTCACCCTTAAGATTATAATATTGGTCAAATGGTAGATAGACTCTTTACTACTGTCTTAGACGGACTGCTTGTGAACATATATAGGTATTGAGGTATTATTTAAAAGTAGTAAATGTCTTAAATTTCTTGATATGCCCTCCAAAACACCATGAGCTTTTTTTTTTTTTTTTCCTTTTTTTGCGGTACGCGGGCCTCTCACTGCTGTGGCCTCTCCCGTTGCGGAGCACAGGCTCCGGACACGCAGGCCCAGCGGCCATGGCTCACGGGCCCAGCCGCTCCGCGGCATGCGGGATCCTCCCGGACTGGGGCACGAACCCGCGTCCCCTGCATCGGCAGGCGGACTCTCAACCACTGCACCACCAGCGAAGCCCCATGAGCTATTTTTAATACTGAGAATTATTCATAAATGCAGCTATTGATCACCTCAGATTTTCAAACAGACTGAACTAAGACTTGGGATTTTATCATCAGGAACTTTTTGTTTCATTTAATGAAATTTTGGTTTGTTGAACTGCTTTCCTGGTGTCAAAGAATCATGAGACCACCATTTAATAACTGAAATAAAAAGACAAAGCAGACTACTGATCGTAATAAGGGCGAAGTCATTTGCAACATTGTAGATGTGCTCTGTAATGACCATGTTGTAGAGACATTGCATTTTTAAGAAATAAAACCAAACATTATCTTGGCTTTTATCTCTAAATGGATATCAAAATAAGCATTATAAGTAAACTTAGCTGCCCATTTTTCCATATATGTTCACATTCACATCTGAAAGTAGATAGTCTGATTATTAGACAAGAAGTGCCTATCTGCCATTTTATTAAATAAAGAGGGACAAAGAATACTTTAGCAGATATAGAAGCATTCTTAAGTTGGAGTTTATTAGCATCCTGCAAAAGTTCTTTTTTACCAAAAACTGTAATGCAAAAGACTATATAACCAGCATTTAAAAAAAAAAAAAAAAAGTCAAGTGCTGTCTTACCACCATCATATATTTTTTAGCCCCACAAAATTACATTGTAGCTTCTAACCCCTTTCTCTTTCTTTATCACTCTTTGTTTCTTTTGGTCAGGTTAGAGAAGAGAATGTTTCTTATTTGTGCCAAGGGACCCTTGATGGTGATGCATGCTGGCAAGATAGTAAATTTGCAGTGCCTGCTTTTTTATATTTCTAATACAAATGGGAAAAGCTATGAAATCAATTTACTAGGTTTGTCCACTTTGAACATTCTTGAAAATAATATTGTGAATAATCATGTGTCGTCTGTGTGATTTCCCTCTAAATAGTGCCTGGCATATGCTATGTGCTATAAAAGTGTTAGCTGCTGCTACTACTACTACTACCACCACCATTTATTATTATTATTATTAAATATCCATTGGTTGAAAACCATGGAGTCAGCTAAATCATACCTTCTACTGTACAAAATTTTGGAAAGCTAAGAAAAAGTATTCTGCACTAAACACTTCTAAAACGATGACTTATACTTCGGATATTTTAAAATATATTATTGAATGTTACTAAAACTTTAATCTGTATACTAAACTGTGTGGAAATATTTAATTTTGTAGAGTTGTACTTCTATATTCTATATAATTGAAGATATTTTTATACTATATTGATAGTTTTTAATAAAGATGGTTTAGAGGTTTGTTTGCAGTTGTGTTGCCTTTTTGTCCATTCATCCTACCCTACAAACATTTATTACATTTCTGCTCTGTACCAAGCACTGTTCTGGATGCCAGAGATACAGCAGTGAACAAACAGCTAAAAATCCCTACCCCCATAGAGCTTATGTTCCCGTGGGAGAGGTAGACCACAAGTAACACAAATAAGTAACTATGTTGACAAAAGCTAAGAGAAAAAAAAAAGTGAAGCAAGAAAATGAGATATGAAGTGTGGGAGACAGGGTGGCCAGGGAGAGTGGTGCTGAGGTGATCCCACATCTCAAGAGAGGAAACTAACCAAGCTGATTGCCAAGGAAAGAAGAGTGAACAGTGCAAAGGCCCTGAGATTGTATACTTTTAATATCAACATATAAATCACCAGAACTTTCTTCATTCCCTAAATCAGTAAATAAAATACAATGCAGCAAATTAAAATAAACATTTTCAGCTTTATCTATTGAAAAGAGCTGATTCAGAGCTCCTAATAGGGTTAAAAAAAGAAAAAAAAAAAGCTACACTTCTAAGTACTTTCACTTTTGCTGTCTCCTAACAAAGAATACATGTCAAAAGTAAGCTAGAGGATATCATAAAGGAATATGCTATGAACATGTCAACTATGGGGTCAAATGTCAGGGGAGAGGGGCAAGGGAGGCAAGAAAGGAAGGGACAGAAAATTGCCCTGGGAAGCAGCAGAAGACTTGCTTTTGCGACCTCCGAGATACTTATGTTCCCTGTGACCAGAGATGGTTCCGTTGACCTCTCTTGGCACCTTAAAAAGACAGTCTGGCTTGGAGTGTGATTCAGGCAATTCACCCTTTAAATTTCTCCCTAAGTCCTCCGAATTACCTTAAAAGAGAATGAAACATTTCATTTTTCAGCTTTTTGCAGATAAAATGCCCATAATTTCTTGAATTTGCAATGGGTTTCACAAAGGATTTTGAAGTCAACACAATGAGAAGACTTTAAATTTTTCAAGCTAGGAATAATGATTAATGCAATTGCTTCAGAAAGATTAATCTGGCAGCAGCATGTAAAATGTAGAGAGACTCAGGCTGAAAAACCAGTTGAGTCAAATAAGCCACTATGGAAAGGAAGGTAGCACCAAACATGGTACCAGTAGGACTTGCCAACTAGCTTTATGTGAGGTAATCAAAATATTAACAGAATTCCTGCTCTGAAATCCTTCTGGCCTAAATATTTGTTTTTTTATTAGTGACACGTACTATTAAAAGAGTGTGGACACAAGATAATAAAGAAATGTAACCTCAAGTTCAAAAAAGCCAGTAACTCATCTCACATTTTATAGATGTGTTTCAAGACTGCAAGTCCTACAGAGTAAGAGACGATAAGACGGAATCTTCCTTTATTAGAAACCATCAAACAAGCTGTAAAGAGGAATCAGGAATATATTCTTTTATTAATAATACTAAGATATTATTTGCCTCTTTCACTCATTAGCGTACAGTGGAGCTCTCCACCAGCTACATGTTGTGTGATATTGCAGCAAATGGAGTACAAAAGCAGCTATGTAAATTCAGCTGTCTTTTATTAAGCCATACATTTAAAAAGACTTTCAAAAATATAAAACAAGGCTGTTCCCACTACGTTTTTTTGTTTGAAAATAGTTATTTTTTATTTTAAAATGTTTCTTATGTAGGGGTTTACTATTGTTACTTTAAATGAGTTGATTTAAAATTTTTTCTGTTTCAATTTCTGAAATGGTTAATGTCAACACGTATCACCAAAACAGAAGCTTCTTTGTGGTCTTCAATGTTAAGAGTGAAAAGAGATCCCGGGCTTCCCTGGTGGCGCAGTGGTTGAGTCTGCCTGCCGATGCAGGGGACACGGGTTCGTGCCCTGGTCCGGGAGGATCCCACATGCTGCGGAGCGGCTGGGCCCGTGAACTATGGCTGCTGAGCCTGCGCGTCCGGAGCCGGTGCTCCGTGGCGGGAGAGGCCACAGCGGTGAGAGGCCCGCGTACCGCAAAAGAGTGAAAAGAGATCCTAAAATCAAAGTTTGTGAACCATTGTTCTCGAACAGGGCATTGATTCTCAGCCCTGCACATTAGAATTACCTAGGGAGGACTTCCCTGGTGGCACAATGGTTAAGAATCCGCCTGCCAATGCAGGGGGCACAGGTTCAAGCCCTGGTCTG